GGCCAGCCACTGGAGTCATTGTCTGTAGGGCCGGGAGCCAGCCTTCTCTGGAGGAAGTGGGAAGGCGTGCTGCACCTTTCAAAGTCAATGTCAAGGAGAGGGTAGCCAGGGCCAAGGTCACTTCAAGATGCAACCATGCCATCTGATCTGGGACTAGTCTGGAAGATAGCTTGGTTGGGTATCCCAGTCTAGAAATCTGCTGTTCAATCCCTAAATCCCTAAAATCCTTACCCCCTGGCTGTGCTCTTTAAAATAAATTTTTAGGCCATTTTTATATATAATAATGGATTATTTTTTAATCACCTTTTGATTTCCAAAGAGACAATGAATGTAACAAAACTGGGAAACACATCCCACTGATTCCCACTTTTTGACTCTTGGGAAAACCCCCTCCTCCCCAGCCAGGAGAACCGTCTCTCTGCCAGCCTCTGGTACAGCCGGTGTGCCATCTCTAAGCTCCCTGAATGGGATGTAGAGATGAGACCCCATGCAAAGGGACAGTGAGTACCTTCTAGAGACAAAGACTTGGTCCACTGGGAGGATGTCTCTAATTTGATCCTAAACTTGATTTCCAGAGAAGGTATCTTACAGACTACCCAAAAGCTACTCCGCCAGCATCGCCCCCTGTTACCCCACCCAGGGTCATCTGCACAGGGATATGAAGCAGGGTGCCAGCCTGTCCTTTCTGCTTGCCCTGAGCCTGTTACCTGGAACCACTAGCTGAGACTCTTACTGAAAATGCCCCACCTCTGCTTCAGATAAGGAGTAATAGCCTTATTTAATTTATACCAATTGCATGAACTAATTCATGTCCTGGGTTTCTTGAAATCCCTAAAATTACCAGATCATCAAAAAACCAAGATGAAAGAATTGGCTGCTCAAAGACTCATTGCATGCCTACCATTAGTAGAGACAGTGCCATGTTAAAAACCAGCTGGCGTGTTGGGTGGGTAAGCCACTCTGACACTCACTATGGGAGAGGCGTGCAGGAACATTCTCCAAGCTCACAGACATTAGTCTTCAGGAATCTTACCACCTCTTTCTTCTCCAGTAAGCCATGAATAGGGAAATGATTAACTCAGGGAACTGGGTGACAACTCTGGGAAAGGGTTAGAGATTAATGGCACAAGTATTCCAGGTCACCCACTAATTCTGCAAGCAGAACTGGTGCTGGGTAGGTACCCGAGGCATGGCAGTGTGTATTTAGCAGACTGGCAGATGACACAAACGCATCTCTAGAATAAACGCATTTAGCTTGGGGCACCATCGATGTCTGACTGCAGCAGGCCCAACTCCTCCTTCCAGCTCCCCGAGAGATCCCCCCTTGCAGCTGGGGGAGCACTGAAAACTGAATGACCATGTGGGGACATCAGGAACTGTTTTATGGGCCAGTCCCTGTACCCGGAGACCATAGGGCCTCTGAGAGCAAGGGTCATGTCTTGGGCTCCTTCCTGCTGTTTCCATCATTAAGTAACTGCTTTCTCATTTTGTTATGGCTATTTCTTGGTGAGACCTTAGATCTTGGGAACATAATTCCTCACATGTGATAGTTTCATGGGAATGTTGAAGGCACCGCTGCTCCAATAGGTTAGGTGCTCTACAAAGAGTATGGCTGAAGCCTTGAAAGAAGTTAATCTATGAGTCTCAAGGTTCTCCCCAAGTGAGGCTCTTTGGAAAGCTCTTAGGACCTGCCTGGGAACCCGGCAGAGAGATGGACTCCAGAGAGCCCTCATCCTTGTTCTGCTGCCCTGTAACTTCCTGATCTCTTCTTGCCTCCTCTTACAGAGAAATGGCATAGGATTATTAAAGTAATATATAGTATTGAAATCATAAATGCAGTCAAGATTCTTAGAACAGATACAAAGTTGCATCTCTTTTTTTTTCACAGAATGATTTATTCATTATTATATTTTTTAATTTGCTATAGGCCACATGCATGAGAGAGAGAGACAGAGAAAACGAGAAAGCAAGCTACTAGGTCCGAGACTCAGATGGCAGTGGGCCAGGAGGGAGTCCAGCATCCTAACCAGCATGCCACCTCTGGGCCCCCTGTAGCTGTATCTTAATGCAAGACATGATTTAAATAGATGAGATTCTAAATGGAAGTATAAAAGGCTAAAAAAGTAAAAAGATAAAAGACAGTTATGACAAATGCGTTGAAAGTACAATGAAGCAGAGAGCTTATTTTCTAAAATTGGGCCAGGAGGGGCCAGCAGGTGGCATGGGGTTAAGGTGTGGGACTCCCATGTGACCTACCACAATTCAAGTCCCGGACCCAGTAGCTTGAAAATCTGGCCAGGTATGTGTGCATGCTCAAAATTCTAAGAAAACACTGAACGAGAAGGAACTGTGGCATGACCATCCCCTCTGGGGTAATTTTTTACTTTCCTTCTCTCTCTCTCTCCCTCCTTGCCTCACTCCAGCAAGTACACACGCCCTATGGCAAAAACTTCCAAAAAAGAAAGAACGAAAGGGGCCAGGAAAGCCAGTGGGTTCTCTGAACTGTCTCTATTTGATTCTAATTCAGAAGGGGACAGACCTAGAAGACCTTCCCATATGTGGGCAGGGTTCTCTGAAGTCATGGGCAGCTGTGAGAGTTTTCAGGGGGACCTAGGAGGGAGCAATGACCGAGCCTCCCAAGAACTCAGCCTGATACCCAGGCATTGTACGTAGTATGGCTTACCTCCCTGTGGCCATCCCGCTCCCTGTCTTCTGAAGCCCCCGGCACACGACGCCTTGCCATTAACACAGGTGCAGAAGCACTAGGCTGGCCTGGGAGGCAGGAGACGACAGAGGATACTAGCCCTGCCATCTCAGAGCTTTGACAGGAAATGTTGGCTGTGAGTGTACGTGTGTGTGTCTATTTCTACGTTCATTTCTATGTCCAATCTCAGCCCCTGGCCAAATCTCAGCGCGCCCACACCCTCCAGGCATGCGGACTGACCTGGCCGGTGGTGATCCTCAGGCAGCAGAAACTAGGCCTAGAACATGTTCCGTCACTGACTAGAGACGAATCCCTTTCCTTCTCTTCCCTCACATTACCCCATATCTCCACCATTCCCAAAAAAGGGCATCCTTTCAACTTGCCACGGAATAAAGACAAGAATTTGCTTAGAAATCTGTTACCTAAGAAGTACTTTCAGGTTGCAAGCGAATGTCTAGTTGTGCCCATTTCCATCCTTCAAAAACCCCATTATATGTTTTCCTTGTTTGCGTCCTAAAGACAGAAATGCAAGTGAAAGTGGGGGTAAAGGCGACATCGTGACTGTCGAAAGAGCTGGTGGCTCAGATGTTCAAGGGCAGTCAGGGCCTCAGTGCACTGTGCTGGAGCCCAAAGAACAGGGGCATTTTCCCAGGTACGGGCTCAAGGAACCAGGGCCAGGGTTGGCACTGGAATTTTCTCATAAGGCCACTTCCCTCAGCACCTACCCAAAATGAGTTCAGCAGTCAGACCCATGAAAAAGGTTTTTTGGAGGCATTAATAATAATGTCCTAAATTGTGTGGGGGGGGAGGCTTTTGAATTTAAAAATGATTCAACACTTATTATTTTCTGCCAGTGCTCCCCACACCTGTAGACCAATGGCCTAACTAGGCTCTTTCCTGCCCGAGTTACACCTTGAGGGCTAGCCCCTGCTGCCCCCCTCCCCCCCACCCAGTGATGATTACGGTTCAGTCTTTCCCGGCCTGATGGGCCATGGCCCTTGAGCTCCTTTGCTCAGATCTGATGGGCATGGGGTAGAAGCAAGGCCTTTGCTGGCCAGCATGCACTACCTTGCCCAGCTGAGTGCATAAAGCACAAACCTCAGAGGCTGCCTTTGAACACATAGCTAATTGAAAAGGCAACACAAAAGGAAGCAAAACCTCCACCCACAAAATCCAGAAGAGCTCGCGTACTCGCCTGCCGCGGGTACAAGTTATGTAACTCGTGGCAAGATGATCATTGGCAGGAGGACGCCATACGGGTCCTTGGTAGACCAAGGCCTGGCGACGCAGCGTCTGCTTTCATGGTGAGGTCCCAGAACCTGCCAGCCCCCGCACCTGTACGTCTTTCACCTGTGCCCTTTGCCCTCTCCTGCCATGTGTTGCTCCTGTGTTAGTCCAGACCTACAGTGCCGGCATCCACCTGAGACTCACTACAGCTTATCTCTATCTGCCTTTCTTTAAAGCCAGCTGAACATACCCAATGTTCTCCCTCTATGGTAAGACTGACCCCCAGGCCATGCTCCTAGCTTCTGTGACCCCCGAGCACCCCCATTGTCACCCGCCCGACCTCCAGAACCTCCTGGGGCCCAGATGGCTCCCGATGCATGCAGCCACTGTGTGTGCTATGCGCCTTGCACCTGTTCTCCTGTGAGCTGCAGACATGCTGTTTGTGTGATGGTGTTCTACCCCCTGGGCTTTCCTGTGGGTGCAATTCACTGTGGTCTCAACTTTGATGAGCCGCTGGGAGAGAAATGGACCCACAAGCCATTTCCTGTTACACAGCCCGGGGACTGATCTGGCTGCAGTCTCCAGCTTTCATCTGTGTGGGGAATTTGGCGAGGGCGCCTAGAGAGCCGTGACGAGGGTCTCTGGGGAAATGAAGGGGAGAGGGGATCATGCCAGGAGGCAGAAAGACAATGCCCTCCTAGTAATCAGTGTTGTAACCAGCAGCCTCCCTGTGCTCCAAGTTCAAGGCCAAGTGGTTTAGGCTGGGATTTGCTAGCGAGGGAGTGGTTGGGTTTCCAGTCACTCTGGCCACAATACCCCTTGCACTTTTCTAAATTCCTGAAGTTCGTTAAAGTGGGGTTCTACCCACTTTTCTGCAGCAGAGACAGAAGAACTCAGCTTCTTGGACCACCCCTGAGGAGGAAGTCAGTGATTCGTTTTAGCTAAGGTGATAGGGAAGCCACTTGGTGTGACCTCGCATTCTCCTTGGGACAGCCTCCTCCAGAGGGCCACCATCACACGTTTCAAATTGGGCCAAGCGTGGGTCTTTAGCAGAACCAGTAAGCTGACCTCCCAGCCCCAGAAGCCAGCAGGATGGAGGCAAGATGGGGGGTGTGCAGGTTCCCCAGGGTGGGCCCCAGCCTGACAGCAAGGCCGCTTGTGGGTACCTGCCTGCTTCACAGGGACGGCCCCGGGGCTGCTGCTTTACTGCATCGTCACCCGGTTTATTGACTGGAGGAAGTCGTCATGTTCTCCTTCCAGAGCAGCACTAGGAAACCGCAGCCGCTGGGGAGCTTCCGGACGTCAGAGCGGATTCAGACTGCAAGCCTGGTGGTTTTTTTTTTTTTTTTTTTTTTTATAAACACATCAGATCCAGATGCCCCTGTGGCACCAGCTTCTCAAACTCTTGACACTCGGAGCTGAAGTTCCCACTTAAGCCTGTTCTTTCTTTTTTTTTCTCCTTTCCTGAACATGGTAGAACTGACAGCTGAGTTCTAAAACCTTAAGCCTCCTCTGCATCCTCCTCTGGGGGAACATGGCCTCCTTTTTTAGGAAAGATAAAGGAATTTCAAGCAGATACACAGGTGACAGAAATGCAGAGATTAAACACATCAGAGGCTTCAAATACACAGGCAAGGGCAGGCCTTTCAGCAGCCTATGAGCCGGCCTCTCAAGGCCCACATCTGTCCCCTTCCTTGATGGGGACAGGGACAGAGGAGAAAGAGAGGCCACTCTGAGTTTGAAATGAGCCGTTCTCACTGCTCCGTGCAGAGGTTCTGAAAGCCAGGGCAGACCCTGTGGCGTGGTCCTGGGCAGGGTGGGCCTGCTGCCATGCAGGCGCTGCTGCCTCTGCACTTCTCACCCCTCCCGTGGTCTCCATCCTGCACAGAGCCACGATGAATGGCTGCCACAGCCATCCAGCCGTGTCCGTGACAGCCACTGCGGCCATGGAGTTAGAACGGAAGGGCCTGTGGGAGCCAGCAAGGGCTTAGTGTGGGGGGACGTCAGAGGGCACAGGCAGGGCTCATGTCAGGGAGGGTCTGGCCTGGAAGGAATTAAAAAGAAGCAAGAGAAGGAGTGAAGCAAGGAGCAGGGGGACCGCCTCCCGCGGAGCAGCTAAAGAGGCAAGGGAAGGAGTGAAGCAGGGAGCAGGGGGACCCCCTCCCGCGGAGCAGCTGATGGAGCCGTAGCAGGAAATGCAGAGGGCCCATTCTCTCCCAGTGTGCAGGGCGGGCGAGCTGCACTAGCCAACAGGAAGGGGTGCGGACTGGGCTGCGGCCAGCCAAGTGCCAGCAGCCTCAGCAGAGACCACCATAGACCACTCCTTGGGGTCCAGGCTAGCTCCAAGAGACTGCCTCCCCTGCCTCTCTCCCATACCCCCTACCCCTTCCAGGATTTTGTGCAGCCTGGGGAGGGTTGGACTCTCCAAGAAGCCCCAGATGGGGTGGGGGGGGCACAGTTTTAGAGCGAGACCTCTCCCAGCCCTGAGAAGCCCCTGAAGCCATTCCAGGCAGGGGCTGTCGGAAGTAGAAGGAGGCCACAGAGATCCTGAGCAGCCAGGGCGTTTGTTCTTCAGTGGGCCACTTCTCTGACCTCCTGAGCCCTGCCCACCCCTCCCAACAGGCCCCACCTATGCAGGGGAGGCCAGAGCCTGTCAGCCTTCCTGCAGAGAGTGGCCTCACTCAGAGGGAGGACTCTGGGAGTCAGACAGGAGGGTGGAGGCTGCCTCCTCCAGGCCCTGTGGCATTGGCTGGGGCTGCGAGGACAACTGGCTTCAGGCCTGAAAGATTCCAAAGTACATGGTAGTTTCTTGTGGAATCTTCCAGGGCATTAAGAACCAGGAGTAAAAGGGAAGAGAGAACAGAATAACAGGGGCCCAGGCACTAGAACCTGGGCTCAGCTCTACGTGGTGGGCTGGGCTGCCTCCCCAGAACAGGTGGTGGCTGACTACAGTGGTGGGCCCCAAGTGTGGATGTCAGGGGACTGTCTAGTGCAGCTCGCCCAGCCGTCTCCCTGTCAAGGACTGTTTCTCAGTGGCCATTCCTGACCTTCGCCCTGCCCCCTCCCATGCTAACTGCGCCCCTGTTGCCGGTGGGTTCCAGAATGCAGAGGAGAACTCCCGCATCTCCATCACCTTCTTCCGCCTCTTCCGGGTCATGCGACTAGTGAAGCTGCTGAGCCGTGGCGAGGGCATCCGGACGCTGCTGTGGACCTTCATCAAGTCCTTCCAGGTAGCCGCACCTCCCACGCACAGCGGGGCAAAGGGCAAAGGGGTTCCCAACGCTGCCTCGGGAGGGACAGCTGGCTCCAGGACTCTGGACCAACCAGCCTCTTTACCCAGCAGTTGGCGGCGGTGCCAGCCCCTTCGGGACTCCTCGCCTTGCTCTCTCCGGAAGCAGGCTCAGACTGGCCCTGAGGTTTCGCACACAGGCTCCTGGAGCCCAGTTTCCCCGAAGGCGGAGTGGGGGTGGGGGAGACCATGGCTTCTGCCTTCTGTCACCTGCGGGCTTCTCTGGTTACTGGAAGAACTCATGGGCAAAGGATTGGTAGTTTGGAACAAATTGCAAAGTGTGGGCCTGAGATAACCTCTGAGGCCCTGCACTTCTGGCTTGCCCCGAAGCCAGTCACCCTGCCCCACGGATGTCTCCTGCTGGGTCTTTAGCAGGACTCCCCTGACAGGACTCCCGTGCTCCAGGTGGGAAGCCCCTCCTCCAGGCTTAGCTCTGCCTGACTGTCACTGAGTACCTCTCAGAACAGTGATCGCCCTGGACAGCTTATGTAAGCTTGAGGTTAAAGAGAAGCAAAGTGTCTCCCCAACCCTTGAAGGTCACTGCAGAAACCCCTAAACGTGGCTTTTTGCTCCTGGCTGCCCGCAGGTAGGCCTCTCTGCCGCCGGTGGTCCCTGCTTCAGCGTCCCTAGATAGGCTCAGCAGTGCTAGGAATGCAGAGGTCGGCTGTGCACCCCCATACAGAATGAGGGCCGGGCTCCAGGCCACTGGATCCCCCGTGTCGCTCTGCCCTGGTTGTGATCGCAGGCCTGCTTTGATGCCCTCCCTAGGGACAAGCCCTCCAGGCCGCCTCCTGCCTGGGCTCTGCCGCAGCCACCGCACTGGCACGGCCTGTCCCTCCAGCCTGGCCAGGCTGACGCCCCACTCGGGGAGACCTGTGGGTGCTGGGAGTCAGAGTTGTCACCTTAATGAAGCAAGACTGGGGTCTGACCCTGTATCTGGAGCACTCCTAGGGTCCTGCAGCCCTGAATGGCTATCCAGCCCCCGACCTCCAACATTTCCCTGGGCTGGGTAGAGACCCCCAGCTGGGGCGACTAGGAGGGAGACCTCAGCTTGGGGCTGGAGTGCTCACCCGACAGAGGGGCAGGGCGCGATCTAACAGCGCCATCTAGTGGTGTGGGGCGGCAGGCGGGCCTCCAGCCATCGGCGCGTGGGGCGCTCCTCCGCCATGGTGGGCTCCTTGAGCCCCCGTGCCTCCTCCACGACTGGCAGATGTCTCTCCCCAGGATTGGCACGGGTTCTGGAAATGGAGATGTCCCTGCCTCTCGGCCAGTAATACGTTGAGTGAGTAAAACGGACAGGACCCAACTCTGCAAAGCATTGCACAAAGCACTTAACAGGCTCCAATCATTTAAGCTGTAGAACTCCTGAGAAGGCATTATGATTTGTCCATTTTTCAGATGAGGAAACTGAGGTTCAGAGAGGTTAAATGATATGGCTCAGCTCCCATAGCTAGGAAGAGGAAATTGGATTTGAGTCTGTGATCTTTCCTTTAAGTTTTCCCTTAGTAAAAGGGAAAGACCTGCTCACAACTAGTGGAACAAAAGAGATGTGTGGAAAGAAAGGGCGCACGCTGCTGCCGCCCGGTCCCCTCTTCCCAGGGAACCACGCCTGCCTGGGGCACTGTCCGTGAACTCCTCTGGTTCAGTCGGAGGAGGCGTCACCCTCTTTGGCTGCTCTGTGAGGTCCTATCACTCCACACCCGTTACTCTGCACTGCCTCTTGCAGATGGAAACCCAGAGCGAGCAGGCTGTGCCCACTGCCCAGGCATCTCTGCGGGTTCTTGAGTGCCCCCTGCTGTGGGCCAGGCGGCAGCCGAGCCTCAGGGTTAGAGGTGGCACTCCCAGGAAGGAGCCAGCAGCCGCGCCTGGGGCCCATGGCAGTCTTTGTGCTTTTCCAGGCCCTGCCCTACGTGGCCCTCCTGATAGTGATGCTGTTCTTCATCTACGCTGTGATCGGCATGCAGGTAGGAAGCTCCTCCTACCTCCCGGCTCCTCTGCCTCCTGCCTCTCTGCCCGGCTCCCAGGCCTCATTCCCTGTGCCCTCTGCCCTCTTGTCTCTTGCTCCTGGCTACCCTGCTTCCTCTCCTCTTCCTTCTGAGGCCAAAAAGTCTCTGGAATTGGAACTTCTCCAAAGGGGGAACCACCCTGTGAGAAGCAGGGCGATTAACCAGGCTCAGGGCACACAGCTTGCAGCACCTCCCTTCCAAGGCCCCGGCTGGCTTCTGCTCCATGTGGAGCGAAAGCAGTCCTGGATTGATGAGGGTGCTGCTGGAGAGACCCGGTCCCTTCTTGGCACGGTGGGAAGGGGGCATCTTACCTGCATCCCTCACTTTGTCCAGGTGTCGTAGGCCTGAGGCCCAGTGACACTCAGAACACACAGATGACTGAGGGGAGAAGGAGAGGAGGGAGGAAGGAGAGAAGGGAGGCCGCAAAGGAGGGAAGGAAGGAGGGGGGAGGGGAAAGATAGAAAGGGAAGGAAAGGGGGAGGAAGGAGGAAGGGGCTACGGAGGGAGGCAGACTGCCCATCAAATATGCAGCCATTTCTGGGGCTGCCCCTCACAGGTGGCCATGGTGCCTCCTCTGCCCCAAATCAGTGCCCTATGGCCGCTCTCCAGGGCTTCAGCTGAGCGCCTGAGGTCAGACTTGGTAGAGCGCCTGTGACCCAGCACTCCACACTGGTCTGGAGCATTTCCTCTGGAGCTCCTTAAATACATTCCTCTACTTGCTTATTGTAGAATGATCCAAAGGTTCAGAGGCCAAACCTCTGGAGATGAAAAGAGCCACCTTGCCATCTGGTAAAGGGTGGCAGTTTCTTTCTTTTTATAGAGAAAGATTTTTATTATAGGGCATATGCACTCACTGAAGAGATAGAGAAAGATGGACAGAAAGGGAGAGATCACCCTCCCCCACAGGGGAGATAGCCACACCACAGTCCCTTCTCCTCCATTTTCCTCTTGGGGTCTTGGGCACACACACATGCCTGGCATGGGTTTTAAGCCACCAGGTCCAGGACTCGAACTGCTGTTGACTACATGGGAGTCCAGTGACATAATCATCACATCATCTGCTGGCCCCAAGGGTCGGCAGTTTCAAAACTAAAACTGTTTAGCTGTAAAATGTCAGGAAATAAGGAGGCTTCTTATCTCAGGGATGAATTAAGCTTGTCCAAGCCCTGGCTGGTTCATTCCTATCATTGTGAAACCCAAGGACTAAATTTGAGCAAATACTTGGGCTCATGGGGCTGAAATGGCAATGGAAAGGTGATGAGCTCCGTGTCTCGACACAGGAAGCTTCTGCTCTGCCTGCCATGAGCCCCAGAGCCCACTGGGCCCCATGGCAGGGCACTCTCCTTACACTTATCCAGGTGGGGACTGGGACCAAGGTGCCTTCCAGGTCACACCGAGGATTCTGTCTGCATGTCCCCGAGCACGTCTTCCTTCTCTCTGCCAGGTGTTTGGGAAGATTGCCCTGAATGACACCACAGAGATCAACCGGAACAACAACTTTCAGACCTTCCCCCAAGCTGTGCTGCTCCTGTTCAGGTGGGTCTTTGAGGACACAGGTCCATGCACACTTGCACCATGCAGCCTTCCGGGCTGTGTGTGGAGGATGAGGGAACCCCTGCCAGGGCAGTGAGAGGGGCGAGAGCACATGCTGGTTCTCTCTCCCCTGGCCAGGAAGCGAATGGTTCTATCATTATTTATAACTTCCCATCAGGCGGCCCACCCACTGGCCACTTACACACTTGCTGGCAACCACCGCAAACCACTAGGGGTCAGAGATCAAGTCATGACAGGACTCTGCTTTGAATCGGAATAGGCTCAAAGCCAACACACAGGCTCTGTGACCATGAGCAAGACACCTAACTGCTCTGAGCCTCAGTTTCCCCTGAAAATAATTGAGGCACTGTTCACTGTGCCGGAGTCTGTGCCATTTGTCGTGTGGTGGTTATGTCCATATGCACTTAGTGTCACCCTCATTTCAGCCAGCCTCAAGTCTGCACACTTCTTGGCTGGAACAGAGACATCTTATACCTGCCCCAATGCGTCCCTGCTGCAGCTGCTTCTCCTCCCTCATTTGGCTAATGACACACCTCTCGGTCTTCCTCAGTCTCCTTATTTTCCTGCCTAGGCTCTCACTTTCCAGCCTGGAACTCTGATGCCTCCATCTAGTCCAGGCAGGTGCATGACAGTGATTTACTCCATCCCTGGACAGGATGGCTCCTACAGTCCTTTCTGGCTCATACATTCTCTGTACCACGACATGAGGGGAGGCAGCAAGTATGCCCTGGGGTCCCTCCTAGAGGGTTTGGGGATCCTCTCTGGTAGCCCCACATTCACTGCGTTCTACAGAACCCTTTTTCTATACCCAAGCCCAAATGTCATAATTGCTCAAGATATACGAGGACACTTCACAAAGTTTGTGGAAAAGTAGAATTAAAGTATGAGTTTATTTCTTGGCAAAAAATAGAAATCCATGTATAGTTTTTCCATAATGTATGTTTTCTATGAACTTTTAAAAACAATTTTATTTATTTTTATCCATGAGTGAGAGCAACAGAGACAGAGAAATAGCACCCCCATCAAGGTCCTAATGCTACAGTCCACCCCAGCCTCAGTCTTCCCCAGCTCATGGACACATGCTCTGCATACTCAGGGAGGTCTTTGGACATGAGCCCAGACCCTCCCATGGGTTCAGCTTGGCAGAGCACCTCTTTTTGCTGCTGTGGTACCATCCGACCTCCTCCATGAACCCTTATATTATATTAAAGTGGTGGTCTCCCTAAATGCCAGTCTAGCAGATCATATACTGTCAGGACACAAGGGCCATCATTAACAGCCATTCAACACTTAGGTCTTTGCCACATCAAATATGGAGTTGGACAGGGCCAGCATGGTTAAGGCACTGGATTCCCACTTGGTTGACACAAGTTCGAGTCCCAGACCTGGCAGTTTGAAAATCACTTCTGGGTACATACACACACCAAAAATTCCAGAAGGAGACTAGAGGAAGGGATTGCAGCATGGCCAAGGCCCCTGGAGTGAAAGGAGTGATTTCTCACTTTTTGTCTCTCATCTCTCTCTGGCAAGTATACATGCCCTATGGGAAGGGGAGAAGAGACAGAGAGAGAGAAAGAAATAAATACAGAGTTGGGCATACACCTGACCAAGCATGTGGGCTCAGCCCCCTCTTTTCCTGAAGTTCTCAATGAGGGACGATGTTTTTTAAAAGAATAAATCCGTGATAGTTAGGGGGAGAAAACCATGAAAGAGTGCTTATGGTAAACCAAAAATGTTGAGAAATTCCTAAGTTGAAGAAAGCAAATGGGATTCAACTGGCAAAGAAATAGGACCTGAAAAAATCACACCTCCAGACAGATTGAGTGAGGGCATGGAGGAAGGGAGAACAGTCTTGCATCAACGGATGAGGCACAGGGGGCCTGGGACCTGGGACCTGCATTCAGAGAGCGTTTTTTGATGCTTACAAGCTGCAAACAGTAGCATGTGATGTCACACTCCTGGACTGTGTCAATAAAGGTCGACATTTATTGTAGCAGAATGGACACAGCTGAAGAATGGAATTAATGATCTGAAAGATTAACCAGATGATTCTGTCATTATAAAAGTCAAAAGGACAAAGACCTAGAAGATATTAAATAAAAGGTAAGACATGGAGGATGGAGCCAGAATAATCCCATCTGTGTTATAGAAATTCCAGACAAAAAGAATAGAAGGGATGAAGAGAATGAAATAAAGGAATGATCAAATAAAATGTCAGATTGAAATGGCCTACTGAGTACAGAAAGGGTTAATCAAAAAAACTCTTAACTAGACACATTGTGATGACTTTTCAGACTATCTTAAATAAAGAAAATATCCTAAAAGCTTCCAAAGAGGAAAAGTCCAGAAAATTAAAGAAGAGCAAGTACTTCCAAACTAATGTTACAAAGTCAGCATTCACCCGATACCAAAATGAGATGAGGACACTGCAAGAAACGGAAATTACAGGTCAATATCCCTGATGAACATAGATGCCAAAAACTCAACAAAATACCATCAAACTGAATTCAATGACACATTAAAAGGATCACTCACCATGATCAAGTGAGATTTAAACCTAGAAGACAAGGATGGTTCAACATACACAAATCAATAAATGTGATGGCCTAGCCATAGTGGTGTAGGGGTGACTTAATGTTCTGCAATACTGAAAGCCATTTGGAGAGTCAGTGTTTGGTTCCCAAACGGACTTGCACACTCTGAGCACACATATGTGTGCCTATGATTCTGGCTTGTTGGAAAGGCTAGGGCAAGATTGTGGCATGAGATCCTAAATGAAGATGCTTCTTTCTCCTCTCTCTCTCTCTCTTTCTCTTTGTCTTTCTGTGCCTCTATATCATGAGAAAAACATATAAATAAACCTTTGAAAACAAAATAAATGTGATATACCACGATAACAGAATGGAAAACAGAAGCTATATGATCATCTCAGTAGATGAGAAAGAGCATTGGATAAAATTCAACATCCTTTCATAGTAAAATTATCATCAAATTAAGCATAGAAGTATCTCAACACAATAAAGGTCATATATGACAATCCCACAGCTAACACCATATTCAACAGTGAAAAGTTGGAAGTTTTACCTTTAAGATCCAGAACAAGACAATAATGACTTTTCTCTCCACTTCTCTTCAATGTATTTACTAGACATTCTAGCTAGGGCCATTAAACAAGAAAAAGACCTAAAAGGCATACAAATAAAAAAGGAAATAAAATTATTTGTTTGCTGATGAGATGATCTGATTTATAGAAAATATGAAAGGCTCCACCTCAAAAAAAATTTTTTAAAACACTGTTAGAAAACATAAATAAATAAAGTTTTTGGTTACAGAAACAAAAATAAGCAGTGTTTTGTTTACACTAACAATGAACTACTGTATTTGAAAGATAAACTAAGAAATCAATATTATTCCCAACAGCAAAAAGAAAAATAATTTATGAATAAATGTAACCAAGGAAGTGAAAAACCTGTATACTGAGAACTGATGAAAGAAATAGTTGATGACACAAATAAATAGAGAGGTATCCCATGTTCATGGATTGGACAAATTATCATTATTATTAAAATATCTGTACTATTCAAAGCAATCTACAAATTCAGAGCAATATGTATCATAATTCCAATGTCATGTTTTAAAGAAATAGGAAAAAATTCTAAAATTCAGATGGAACCACAGATGCCACTAATAGCCAAAGCAATCTTGAGCAAAAAATGTCAAAACTGGAGATCTTACACTACCTGACTTCAAAATCTATTACAAAGCTATCATAATCAAAACAGCAGCATAATACCATCATAGAAATAAACACACTGCCCAATTAAATAGGATAGAGAGCTCACATATTTATAGTAAATTTACTTTTGACAAAAATGCCAAGAACACATGATATAAAAAGGTCAGTGTCTTTACTAGACAATGTTGCAAAGAGAAATAAATTAATTACTTTCAAAGTACCAATCAAGAACAACAAAAGTGCATACTGGAAAACAGTGAAGTAATATATTCAAAATCATGAGGAAAATGTATTTTGAATCTAAACTATTATATGTAGTCAAATTAGCATTCAAGTAGCAAAGCAAAATAAAGAGATTTCCAGAAGTTTAAGAACCTAAAAAGTTTACTTCCCTACATAACCCTTCCTTGAAGCAATTACACAAAGCTGTCCTTCAACAGAATGAAAAATGAATCTAAGAAATAGAATAAGTAGAGTAAATACATTAGTAAGGAAATCATAAATTTGTAGTTATGAGTTATGAACAGAGAAATTATAAAGTTTATATTAAGTCTAAAAGTTTATCTTAAGTCTAAGTAGAGAAAATGTCCAAAACCTTAATAACAATTTGAATGTAAAACCCCATATTCTCTCAAAGATGTAGGAAATAGGGTGGTAGGAGAATGAGAAACATGAAATTTTGCTAAGAATCTCTTTTGGGAGAGAAGAAATGATACCGTTTAGCTCTATATATAGCTAAGGGAAAAATATGTATTAATACATATTTGTTAAATATTTAAAGGTCAATCACGAGGAAAATAGAAACGGAATATGGACATTCCAAACCACTACAGTGAAAACTGGACAAAGAAAATCTCAGCAGTTCATCAAAAAGAAGGGAAAAAATGTAGGGGGGAAAAAAAACCTTGATAATTAGAGCAATAAAATAAAATGACAAGAATAGGAAGAAAGATATTAATAATCACTAACAAATTAGATGAATGAAATTTCCCTATTAAAAGATACTCTTTAATCTTGGCTTTAAGAAGTGTAGCTGTGGGGGGACCAGTAAATGGTGTAATGGTTGTATAACTGGACTCCCATGTAGTCAACCATGGTTCAAGTCCTGAACCTGGTGGCTTCAAACTCATGCCAGTTGTGTGTGCATGACCAAAATCCTGAAAGGGGAATGAAGGAGAGAAGGGTTTGCGATGTGGCCATCCCCCACCCCAGGAGGGGCAGGGATTTCTTACTATCTGTCTCTCTG